TCCCTCCACTGCATCAGCTGCAGTTGGATGACGATTTTGATGGCAACACCACAGATGGGTTTAATTTACCACCTCCACCTCCGCCACCAATGCCTGCAACGACGGACCCGGATGTAGAGTCGGACTTTTTACAAACTCCTCTGATGTTCTCCCGAGGTACCTCATCGTACTTGTCCTCAGGACCTTTGGGCACATCACCAGGCGGTGCATTTCAATCTTCACCACAGAGTGAATGTTCCGATCCAGCCGTCGACGGTGATGGAAACCTGGGCATATTGACGGATCTGGAGACAAGCGCAGGAAGTAAATGTATCGTTAGTCCAGTTGATTCAGTCATTGAGGAAACTACGTCAGCGGGATTCCATTCTAAACGGGATGCGTCAGATTTCGAATCTGATTGTCCTGAAGGTCAAGTTGCTATCCACACAGAGGAAGACGATGAAGATGAAGTTCGGCTACCATTCGCCGAAGAGGGCACTCCACAGGATGCCATCTCGTTTGTTGAGGATTCCGCTTTAAGCGAACGAGTGCGTTGTGCTCCGTTTGATTGGCATGCCCAACAAACACCGGTTATTATTGCCAGTGACGGTCGGGTGGACGAGGATGATGATGAACCTGGGCAAGCCCAAATTCTGCAGCAGTGTATTGCATCAGCCATGCCTGGAAATTCATCGTTCACCCCACTGCGAACCGAATTCCCAGCTACTCTTCCCGCTCCCGCAGCATTTGCTTCTGACATTACTCGGACTGTGGCGTTTGTCGAAGAGGATGATAACGACTCAGTGCGGAACTTTGCCGTGGAAGACACGCCATTCGGTACATCCACCAAAGCCAGTTCGTTGAGCGATCTTATAGTGTCAGAAGCGAAATCGTCCGCCGGTGACTTGTTTCCCGATTCCTCGTCTCACCATAACTGTGGCTCTCTGCCTCAACCGGATTCCGATCGCCATCATTTGATCGATACTGCTCAACATAGTGTGGATCGAGGTAGCTCGTCCAGTTCGATTAACGGGGAGACCTCATCTGATCTACTGTCTGAAGTTATACAGTCAGCAATGCCCAAATCGTTCCCAACCACGACATGTGATTCTCGAATCCCGGTCACCCGAACGCCGGCAACTATCATCACTGCGAACAGTGCTACAACAACAGTCGCTGTTGCCCCAACATCTGATGGAGATTGTCTACAGTTGTACGCAGTTGAAGGAACCCCGGGTGCGGATGACCTGTCCGGTTCATCATCTGTGCATGATGTGTGTGAGAGCGCTATGCATTCGTTCACATCACATTCTTCTTCGATGCACGGTTTACCGGCAACCAGTCCGGCCCTGGCCTCCGCATCTTATTCAATTGGGTCGTTGGAAGCAGTGTCTGCTCCACCTGCTCCTCCTCGTCGAACAACATCCGTCCTAACAAATCAGCGCGATCCTTTTGCTCCTACCCCGGCACCGAATCGTCCACAGGCCACGGTAGCTCCGATGCCTCAGGTCGCTCGTTGTCCACCTACAAATCGATCGAATAGTGAGTTCTTACTTGTCTTTTTCCAGTTTACGTTTTATCTCGTACTAGTTCTTTCGAAACGATGGAGTCATTTGTTGTTCGCCTCATTAATGGGATTTATGCCTTCTACTATTTCCCGGATTGGTTCTTCATAGTACAATGGGACTCCTCGGAATACATTTCTTCCGAACGGCTAAAATGATTCGAATTGAAAAAACCCGAAACAGAAAGTATCATCATAATATAAGTTACAGATAACCAAAGGCACCTCATTATCCTGGACTATCCTGGACAAAATAAAAAGTGGTAGTGGAATGTCTGTGAACAAATGAATTTTTGCCAGTTCCAACTTGTATCGACGTACTTTGTGGATTCATTGGATCACTCATCTCTCAGAATAGTCCGAGTGTCACTTAACAACTGTTTTTTTATTGAGAATCATCACCTTTACTTACGTCGTCGAAATAACCACTTGGTGCTTCTGAGTTCGAACCCCTCCACCACCGCCGCCCATCTTCCTGTCATCTTTATTTCCACCAACAACGTTTGTACGGCCACGACCCCTTTCATGAAAGTTCACTGTTTTTTTTAATCAATAAACAATCAAGAGGCAAAAACGATAAAAAAAATACTTGGGCACGGTTTGAGAAGAGCATTTTGTGGACCATAGAAAATCAAGTTCATATGGGTGTAAAAAATATATTAAATTTTGTTTACTAACTGCACATAATGTATGTTTTTCTTTTCGTGCTTTCAGGTGCATTTCGTTAGTAATTAAAAATAAGTTAAAATGCTTTATCAACCCAGGCTATACTCCGGTGCCGTTTATCGTGACGTCGCCAATCAACAACTATCTGAATCGTTGAGGCTGCACCCTGGAGACCTAACCTGATACGGAAAATCAGATACGAGAGTTGGACACTCCAAAAGAATACGCATATGCGGTGGCTTTTTTGATAAAAAATGGATCTTCATTTTTACGTTTAGACGACTTATGAGAGCACCGATAGTTTAAGAAAATTAGTGACCCTTTTTAAATGTTTCACAAGAGGGGAGGGGCACTGATCCATACTTGTGGTTACCTGAAAAGGGACTAGATGCTGAAGTGTTATTCTACTTCCACAGTACGTGTATTGTTCCTGCTACTCAGCACACAATTAATTAATCGATGCAGAGAGTCCCTTCTTCTTCCTCCTCCTCTTAGCTATCGATTCGTGAAGTTGTTCGGGTCACAGGCTGCTGTTTGTCTTGTTCGGGTGCATACTAAGCCACTGTAACTGGAAAAGTACAATGGTCGCGAGCATAAATGACAGTGTTTTGTGGCAATATGTTTGTCGTATCGTTGATGCTAGCCTGAGAAAATAATGATATGGGTAATCAGCCTCAGACTCAATCTGATGTACAAAAGGGTCGGTGGTGGTTGTTGTCTGTTTTCACAAGCGCTGGCCATATTTTAATCGATGCCTTAACCTGATAACCGGTTGAATGGGATGGCTTCATTCGCAAAGGTCTTCTGTTTGGTTATGGAAATTGAGTGTGAAGCTGTCTGTCATCACCAACGGCACTATCCACGGCTCGCAGATTGACCTGTTTGTTGTTCGGCTGGATGCGGTAGTTGTGCGATAGTTCTGAAGTTATACTCCTAATTAACTGCCTAGTTGTTGTCGTTGCTGTTTGAGGTTCCTCACCCACACTCGAACTCTGATACTTACGTCCGATTTGCACAGAAAGTGAAACATGTTTCTTTCATCAGTCGCGGTAACCGAACTTCTGCGTCGCATAGCAGTCAAAAGACTTGATTTGACCAAACGAATAGACATGACATGCAGAATTTCCATGATAAGTAAGTATTCAAACCCTGAATAGTAGGTCCCCAAAGTGGATCGAATTTTATCGGCTGAATTGTGTTGTGCTCATAGTGTTCTGTTTGCAATAGCAAAATGAGGAACATCCAATAGCACAACTTTTCCCCTCGAAGTCACTCAAGTCCATTCAATTATTGAACCATCTTTCAGCAAGCTGTGGGATTATCGTGTAAAACATTACATGCACGTTGCAAATGTGGAATCGTGGCGGCCGCCTAGTAACTTCAGTCCTTCATTAAATACGAAAATTTAGGAGGTATCAGAACAAATGAGTTCACCGCGGTTGGAAAAGCACCGAATTAGATGACCGTTTGTGGGATGCAAAGAAAGACGCGCCGAGGAAACCAATGGCCTTACGTGGATCTCATTTTATCTGAGGGGAATCGGGCGAGTGGCGATCCTTATAAACGACTACAGTGTGGTGAATCTGGGGCGCAGATTGGAAATAAAGTACCGGGTAATGTAACAACAGATCACCCCAACCTAGCGAAGCTTTGTGTGGCTCTTCACTCCAAGTTCCAGAGTTTAAGTTGCGGTTTTCATCACTGAGCAACCTGTCCCTGTAACTACACCGTTTACCCTGTCTGCTGTTCATCGAACAAGAGCGTGTTATTGAAAAAAAAACAGAAGAACACTGACTAACGTAGCTGGATGTGGGATTAATCTAATGAGTGCTT